TTCAACCACTCGGGCTTATCGTAACCGAAGATCCAGCACTTCCTAATCCTACGCATCTGCGACATGGAAATGCAACTCGCATCTTTATTAAAGTGTGTCCAAATAAGTAACGTTTGCCTTGGATCCCAGTTGTATTGGCGCTACATAAAAGGAAAAAATTAGGCGAAGAGAAAATAACCATATGAATGAAAATGCTTTAAACGTTTTGCTTACCAGTAGCATCTTAAAACAATGTATCTTAAAGCGGACGGGAATCAAGCGATAAGTAGGCCACTCGTGGTGGCTGTTCTGACAAATTATAGGCTCGATCGCATCACCCATTAGAAAATGGTATTCTCTCCATCTCGTTGTTCTTTTGTCAACGAAAGCATCATATAAACCCGGACTAGGGTATAGAACGGGAAGATCATCCCGACCAGGTCCGGCAAGAATCGCGTTAATCTCTGTAAAAACATGTCCTGGCATATAAGGAATGTCTTCCATTTTGATGAAAGTTGAAATGAATGAGAAAAAGATTTTTGGTAAAAGAAAACTGATATATAAAGGGAGGATCAGATGAGAGAGATAAAGGAAGAAGACGGAAAGTTGCGTTGGTTAATGTGATGGCTGAGTTATCGTACGGGAAACGAAGACGAAAGGTCGCGTTACGACTGAGTTATCTGTAACATAACATGAGTATATTCCGTATGCTGAGTTATGTTACGGCTGAGTTATCATATTAAAGAAGACGAAAGGTCGCGTTACGGCTGAGTTATCGTACGGGAGATAGACGAAATGTCGCGTTACGGCTGAGTTACATATATGTTATGGCTGAGTTATCATAATAATCTAGAAATATGGATTACATAAAACAAACATTGTCTACACATAAGCAAAAAACGAGAAAATTCATGCCAACAATATACCTACGATACTACTTCCGACAAGTTTTTGCATTATGCCCAACTTCTTTACATCGAGAACATGCGTGTGGTTTCCTCGGGCGTTTATTCTCAAGTGCAATTTCCACAGTTGATTTAATC